TAAATTTACACTACAGTCTATTTAGAGCAACCGCACATTATAAATTTATCGTGGAGGAAACTAAACAGTAGAATAAAAGAAAAATATTTTGAAGATAACTTTCACTGCTACTAATACTAACACCAATAATAATAATAATACCAACCAAAAATCGATTCAAGCATTATATACCCATACAATACAGTTCCGATCATACACAAGTAATGAGAAAGATGCGTTTTTTTTCAAGTAACCATTTGTGCATAAATAAAAATAATTTCAAATGCATTAATAAATAATTTATATTGTAGAAATTAAAAATCCTTCTCTTCCTTGATGAATTACTGAAATCTAGTTGACTAGTTCGTTTTTTTTTTAAATAAACGTTAATGCAACTTTTATACTTTTCTTTCGAATGTTTGTAATGCAGTGTTGTATAAAAAGAAAAATGACGTTAGAAACAGGACAATTTTATGAATTCCAGAAATCTCTTTATAATATTATCCAAATCAAATAAGATAAATTCTTTTCCTTTCTTTTTAACTTCCTGATCATAATATTCTGTCGGTAACATAGTAATCAAAATAATGTTAAGATGTTAAACATTTTGCAACAGTAATAGCTAGTAAAAGCTTTTTAAATCCTTGGTGCTTCAAATGTTAAAACAATAAATTTCATTGTTTTTTTTTACTGTGTATTGTTACGTGAATTGTTCTAAACAGAACATAGGGAAATTTAAAAATGATCAGAGACAGCCTTGAAATGTAACCATAAGAAAAGAATTACTTTCTATCTATGGATATATTAATCTCACGGAAATTGCGGACGAAAAATTCATTAAAACTTCCTCAATAAAAATGTGCAATAAACTTCAGGTATTAAAAAAACTATGATTCGAAAGTTCTGAAAAAATAAAAACCTATTAGGCACATACTCAGATGAAGCTTAAAAGTTATGCCTAACCATGCAAAGAACGTAGCTTTTGGAACTATTCTAGATTATGGAAAAATGGAGCACTCATAATAAAACACCAAAACTTACAAACAATATATGAAACAGGGATCATTCTATGTATATTAACAATATTTGTAAAGTCCTACTGTAAAGCATTTAAATAATATAAACAGAGTCATTAGTTTATAGTGTGGTGTATTCCATTGATGTTGACATATATAAGTAGCATGCATCGCCAATCGAAAGGTTGAGAAAATCGAAGAAAAGAGGATGAGAACAGAGAATGATTGGTATGAAAATGAAGTGACAACAAAGTCTGATACAATCGACGGATATTTTGCAAATAAAGTATTACTGTATGGTTCTCAGATTTTAGCAAGATATTCTGTAATGAATCGAGATACATATGGATGTCCTTGATTGTGTTCACTACAATATGATTTGCCAATGTGCGATACATTATATCGGAAGCCTAATCCAGAGTATAGTAATATTTCACTATTTTATGTAACAAACAGGCATCCTCTCATTGGATTAAGCAACATCAAACGAACTACATATCAATTCATTTTACATTCATAATATGTACATAATGAGAAGAGAACCTTTCCCGTCTCAACGATATTTGTGTTTGACATGCTTACATTGTTTTGTTGAAACTAAATAGGTATTTTGAATGTCAGCTAGTAATTGAGTTTATGAAGGAATGTGACTACAATACTGTAATACTTAGTTAATTGGAAAATCGCCTGAATTAAGCGGATAGAATTAAAATATTTTAGATTAATGATGATGAAGGAAGTAAGAATTCTTCAAAAAAGTAAGTTTTTTTTTTAATTTTTGATCATTTATACGTAGATGGTGTATGTTAGCCAATCAGTGTAGCAGATAATGTATGCGTCATCCAAGTTATACTAAATATATCTCGATAATTCATTGTTATCTGATTAAATAACTTGCTTTCCAAGGATATCTTAAAAAACTGTTTCCTTTCAATTGAAGACTAGTGATGTGGGACGAATTGGTAAGAAAAGGAATTAAAAAATATGATAGTACGGAACTCTTAAGTTGGTATATTTTTGTTATCTTCAGGTACCAATATATATGTACAGTTCGAAAATAATTGGTTGTATATTTTGTTCAATCATTTAAGAGAGGTCGTTAATGGGAATGAACTAGGCAAAAAGCACAGCATAATGTCAAACATTGTTTATATGTAAATTACTTCATTAGAAACCTTAATACTCTTTGCTCATTTACTTCTCGCCCACGAACATTTAAAAGAAAATCTAAATTAATCCGAACACTGGCTAGATGAGTATTTATTATTTATCATCCTGTTGACCAATTTTAGAGAATGTTGGGAGCAATCACTAAGAGACCCTGGAGTTCAGTTTCGCTTTGATCAACAATCGTCAGCAAGATGCGTTTGAAGATCATAAGGTAACTAACCCTACTCACTTGATCAAAGTAAATGACCGAATACGACTCTGAACTCAACGAAGTACATTAGCTCCTATAAGATTATAGATACGCTTTCCTGATAGGTGTCAGATAACACAACTTAGATCTGGAGATTTGAGTTGATTGTTTCTAACAGTAAGCAAAATCCATCACAATACTGATTCCCTTGATCTGGTAGCAAATTCACAGCTACATTGATGTCATGTTACTGCTTATATTGTGATAACACACCTTGGAATATATGATGTAGTATATATTAAATATCCGGTATCCAACACGTAATCGAATAAACTAATAACAGTTTCAACTATAATACATTTTAAATGTTTCAGTAACATTAGCTTTAATATGTGATTATTATTATTATTAATGTAATGCAATACTATACCGTTGAATCTGAATTCGGACTCCTTCATTTCTCATCGTTGCGTTTTATTGATGAACTACTATTTGACTTTATCATTACTAATTCGTAATACTGTTTAAAAACGACAGTGATTATAATGTCATGTGATGTAAAATATTAATTATCATACATTGAAAACCAGTTTATTGCTCCAGTAGGATTTCGCACCAACATTTAAAATAAAACTTCAGAAATAAACCAACTATAACTTACACAATGATAAAAGCAAATTTCGGTGCCTATGAATACCACTAACTACTTAGGTCATATAACAACTGTCATATCTACTTGAGTCGTCAAATCAAACTTTCAAAAACGAACCGATAATTGATTTTCAGCTGTTAATTTACTACTTCGAAAAGCGATTAAGTATGTATTGCTAAAACTAGCTGAGGAGCTAATGACAAGCAAATTGGTTGATATAGCTCTAAAGTTTACGTTTTAAGCTTTTTGGGTATAAAAAGTCTTGACTATTTTCGAGCATTGTTGTAGCACCATTGGGGTAGTCGTTTATGATTTCATTATTAGAAAACTAGACAACAATTCAGATGCTAAAGCTTTCAAAATTTATTCATCGATGATACAATGATTGTATCTAATTACAGAAAACAGAGAACTATTGGAAACCAAGGAGAGTGCTCCTATGCAAGTATTTCATCCTTGTTTAGGTTTCTTTGAAATTTGGGGACATTATGATCTCAGAATGTGCACTTCATTTTGTAATTCCGAAATATGGCGTAACAATTCCAGTTCAATAGATGGTGACACAAATTATGACGATGAAGTATTGAATGATGGGAATTTTCAATAGCAGTTCACTGCCCTCACTTTTCTAATAGTTTTCTAACTGATATTAGTAAATAATGAAAAAACTCCACTTCCCAAAATCATCCAGCTTTCTTTTCTATCTATACGTGACTGACAAAATGAGAACAAAAATATTACTTGACTAAACCAATCTCATACTAAGTGACCACCATTTTAATAAAAAGTTTATCACGAGCTTTGAAACCTAATTAGGTAGTTTTTCATCTGTAATCGATTTGCATGACCACCATAACAGAAATAGCATAAAAGTAAGTTTCACTCGCAATGCAGAATATCATGTACCCAACTATCGGTGGTATAATAATTTTGTTTGGATCGTCAAATAATTTTCCAATTGTCCCATCTATCTCCTTATTTAATAATGTCTGTTTATGTAATAATTTAATGTATTAAGTTGTTTTGAACAATAAACTTTCTTCATTGTTTAGTATGTACTCCATATCTAGTGACTTTATATTTTGTTTAGTCTGTATATAAATAAGTAATAATAAGTTTCTTATTTATCATAATACTACATATATCTAGTAGTTATTTAAAATCAATGCACAACCTGTTGGCAATAGATCAGTTTTTTTTATATCTTCACTAAATAGGGAGATATTCAGTCACTTGAATAACACCATTTTGAATGAGCAGAATTTTATGCAATATACTAAATCATAAATGTTATTCGCTTTCTTGCCATTATGCTTTATTATCTGATTTTTCATTAATTAGTTTAATTCATTTTTTTCGCATATAATATATATATTTAGCACCCATGAAGCTACCATTCAAGATATGCGTAACAAATTCAAAGCCTTAAACAAGATAAGTGAGTAAATAAAATATATATTGTACATAAAAATATCCAATCGTCGCTTTCCTGACCATTGCCGCTACCTTAACATGGTGGTCAGGCTCGCCTACCGTGATGAACCAATCGGTTTATATTGGCTAAAACAATATATATAACAAAAGAAAAAGCATTGCGTTATGGGAATGAAAATTATCCGTTGTAAAAGGATACCAACAAGAAAGTTCAATCATCTTATTGATCACAGTTGGCAAAAGAACAAAAGACTGGTAATGAAGAAAAATCATATTTAAGAATTACGAAAAAGTTAAAATAAATGAAGTGACTGTAAATGTATCATAATATTTTCAATCACCAGTTATATACAGTTTCAGAAGTATTAAAAAATCACAATTTAACATAGTACATGTAAATAGAAGTGATCACCTGGAGTCATTTGTATGTAAAGATAAAAATCCAAAAGGCAATAAAAAACATATTCAACATGCAAACGGTTCCGACAAAAACCCAACTAATCAACGATATTCAATGGGGCAGCGTAGTCAATGTTTATTCCTAGATTGGCAAAACTCTAAAAAAAGATTTCGAAAAAAATATTAGATAAAACTGAATATGAAGCACCTAGGTAGTACAGATGAAAATTCAGCTTTATTAGTGTCTTCTCAAATTAAAAATAAATATATATCACTACACTGTGAATCATATCGACAAATTTAACAGAACATTTTTGAAGAAATATCCGACCCGTCTGTTACAGTGTGAGAGCAATATTATTAGCGAGAATAAAAAACTACGATAGTATTCACTCTATAATTCGCATTAACCAATTTTATTTGTTTGTTTTAATTATACTTTTTATTGTGATGACTGTTATGGGTATTAGTCCCATTTCTCTCTTCTTGCTGTGCTGAGATGAGGTATGGTAACGTGGATCAATACACATCTGTGTTGCAAATGAATTTCCAATCGAACAGCGAGAGTAGCAAATGAGCAAAGTAATCAATGGAATAATTACAAAATGATGAGGTATCTGGTGAAATAGATAAAAACTTCCACTTAAAAACATTGACAAGTCAATCCAAGATGAAAAGAGACACAAATAGCTAATTTTATGTACACAATAAGCATTTGTTTTGGTTATATATACGAGAAGCATAAATCACAGTGGTATGTGAAACCTTGAAATCACTTCTCAGTAAGAATTCAGAAGACACTAAGAAGAGGTGGTTTGTTTGAAACCCTTTGAATACTTTTTTCCATAAATGAAGTTCATACTTAAACATTAGCTTTAGTAAGTTTAAAAACAAATTTGCACATGCCATTACATCAGCGACATACATTAAGTTTCCTGTCATCATGATAGGCTATAAGAAAGTGTGGAGATTATGCTGCGAGTAGGGAAGCTGTTATTGTGCTTTCTGAGAGCATCTTTAAGATTAATATCATTTAATTCACGAAAATAATTAAAACAATATTACAAGGAGCAAACAAATTTACCGCAGTAAGATAATCATTAGCTGAACAAACAGTGGTTTTAGAATCAATTTTCCTTTGAATATCAGTTGGACATATATTATCAGATGGTTTTTCATCGGAGACAGCCAGTTTATTAAAATCGTTTCCAAGACTACCTCTATTTGAACGATTTTCATTGCATATTGTATAACTATTTTGATTTTGTGGTTGTGCTCCATTCCTACTGTGATTTATCATTTTCATTAAACGATATTCATCAGATTGCTTCTGAATTGAATGAAAGTAATCAAATAACTCATTAAAGTTGATGTACACACTAATTATATTCTGTGCAGATTGGGGACCTTTTGAAATCCGACTACTTAAAAGAGTGGATCAATACAAAAAGAAATGGTTTTAAAATTTATACCTTATAACAATAAATATTAATTCAACATGGAAATCTTATTCAAGATAACTAAATCATTATACACAAATCGAATGAATAACAGTTTTGCTCTTATTATAGCAAACAGACTAAGCACTCAAGGAGACTCCACTTTATTAAAGCTTGGGATATCGAACTACTTTCTATTAGTAAGTAGCATATACAGTTAGCCATATTTGTTATATAAAGTCAGTAGGCATAAATTCATTAGGTCGCAAATGCATTTAACTTACAACGGATTGCAGTAATGCATAAAAAGCTCAAAAATTGGGAATAAGACATACTAAATCATACAACACAAGCAAAAGTCAGAATAAAATGACTACTATTAATAGAGAATTCTTTAAACATGACATTCAATACAAAAGAATAAAAACAGTCAGTCATAACAGCAATGGGAAAATCCCTACCGTGTACCAATAAAAGATTTAACGTCTTAAAACATTATCAAGAAGGTAATATAACTCTTGAAAGATAATCATAAGATTTCAAACACTGGAAAATTAAATGCTGATTACATCTATCTATACTTAAATGAGTTCTTGTTATACCATGTAGGTCCTTTTTAACACTTAATAACGCTCAAAGTCAATACTTAATTCTCCGTGTTTCAGATCTTATGATTGCACAGAGCATCTGGAAATAAATAGAAACTAAAGAAAATAATTATTACACTGGATTATCTGAAATATATTCCACAGGTGGCAAGCATTGTAAGCGTCGCCAAAGTGTCTGAAAGGCATCTGTTTGTGGAAGACACATAAGTAGGCAATATAAAGTTTCGCGAAGATCAGCACTGAATCGTTTATCAAGCATATGCATCCGAAGACCTGAAAAATGAAAAACGTTTTAACTGTATATTGTGCTTCTTTAGCGAGTAATATGTCGAAATTTATCATACGTAAGTATATGCCAAACTACGTAAAATAGTATTCAATAGTGAAATAGAGAGCAGCTAGCTAATAAAAAAACTTGGAGTGTTATGTTGTCACGAATTAGAAATCAGATATTGAAAGGAAGTTACGTAATAATCGGTTACTGAAAAATGGTAAGGCGAAATAATTATCCACTTGATAGCTATTAAGAACAGAATTGTTAAAAGTTGTAATGATTGCTAGTTAATAGTTGTGAAAACAACTGTAAAGGAGTAGGAATGATAAAATAAATAAAAACGATAGACTATGGAAGATAGAAAGCGAGGTTAGGGTCATGGATGAATGAGGGGTTGAGCATACTATTTCTGTACGCAAAGGTTAGGCTAAAACTGGTGGATAGCAATAGCCTCTGCTGTACATAAGTTTTTCATTTGCATTCTCATTGAGCCAACACCTAACCATATGTAAAATGTTAAAGGCTTCTAGTGAAGCGAAGTGGCTGGAATTGATTAGATGCTCCAAGATTGAGCTTTTGACTAACTTCTGTAAACGTTTGAAGAGCCAGACAGTATAATATTCGGAAATGTGTTTCGAAAAAACTCGCTTTGTGTGGCCAATATAACCTGCTTCACATGATCAAGTAAACTGATAGGTTTACACTGATTTCACCCAATATGGGAGATTATCCTTTACACAACTTCGAATCATGGGTCAGCTAGAAAAGATAGTGTGAGGCTCAGCCCAACAGAACGTTTTCTTGGAAGTCTGAGAGAAATCATTGTGTATCTATCAGTTTACTGGATCATGTGAAGTGGGTTATATTGGCCACACAAAGTGAGGTTATTCGAAACGCATCTCCGAATATCACACTGTCTGGCTCTCCAAACGTTTACAGAAGTTAGTCAAAAGCTCAATCTTGGAGCATCTAATCAATTCTAGCCACTACACTTCACTAGAAGCCTCCTTTAAAATTATACATACAGTCAGAAGAGTTAGCTCAATAAGAATATATATTGAAGATAAGCTTGTCAGAGTACATTTAAAACCTTAGAATTCAAAATACTCTTCAAACAAACATGAGAGAACCGCACAAATCATAAAAGTAATGATAACATGCTCACACACTGAACGATATTATGTTTATCTCATTATTCAACGACATCACCTAATTTGTTAGAACTGAAGCCTAATACATGACAAAATCCACTAACACCGAACCAATTTCAGTAAAATAACCTTTGCATGTCTGCCAAAATGCACGAAAACTCCCTTGATCTGATTACACCTTAATTTAGAAAAATCATAATATGGTATTGTGCAAACAGACAGATGCGTAATGAAAAATGGTACATAAGTAGGTGACTTAATTTAAACAATTCTAAATATTATCATCGATGTATAAACTTACTGGAGAATATTGGTGATTCTATCATTTGAATTAGCTGATCCATATCACAGAGAGTTTCAACAGTAATAACAATATCTCCGCTTAGTCAAAAACAAAATAATATCGTTAAGGAATAAAACTAACGCATGGAGCATGCAGAACGCACTACATTACGCATAAGTTCATTCCCTATTTGAACTAAGTATCGTTTAGTTGACATTTGATTGTTTATCAAATCTCCTTGTTCTTCTTCCTAGCAATATTTATTCTAATTATTAAAATACAATTAAGCTATGATACCAGTTTTTTTAATACGCAATGCACAAACTAACAATGAAATTAATCCGATTATCAACCCTATGAGTTTTATGCAAGTTCATAACTGTTTGCGACATACATAAATCCATCAATGAAATTGTACATTTTTTTTATTTTAAAAAAACGTATATCTCAACGTATACGTAACCAGGATAGTTTTTGAATGAGGTAAAAGTGTGAACGAAGTTATGGTTTAAACATTATTAAAGATATGGTAACCAAAGGCATATTACTTATCAGAAAATGATACTTGATATTATGGCACTATGATGTGATTTGTTTAATTCTGAAGTCAGAAAAGGAAGAAAATTTTGTCAAAAACCACCAAAAGCATCCTTCAGTTCTTCAGACATAGTAATTTCACTAGTAGGATAACCGTTTGGATTTCACGCTATCTACCGCGATTATTAGTCAAAGGAGTTCACTCACCTTGCATACAGTAAGTGTAATTAACAGAGTGATCTGAATATTTTTGCGAAGCTACCAAGTCCACTTCCTTCCTTAGAATTCATTGCGAAATTTTTAGCTTTATTAAACTCGAGATACAACATGTGGTAAATTATACCACTACTATCTTGAATCGATTAACTCGTTGTCTATTAATTACGATGAATAGAATACAACAATACCAGAAATAATTGCTGCATGCTCTTTGTACACACAACACATTTACAAATGCCTTTTAAATCTCACACTATAGATTAGTTCTATTCAATGAAAATTTAAAAAAAAACTAACCACTTCATTTATGTTATATGCTGTTAAAAAAACTGATTGAAAATTAAATCCACATTGTTAAAATTCTACTTTTTTCCAATTAAAGAAAGGATACAACGATTTCACTAAACGGCTACAATGTTTATAATTTTCAGTCAGCATACATAGTGCTAACAGAGAAACAGGATTATAACACCAAGCACGATACAGTTTTTCAAACAACTGACATTGGGCCTAAAATATGTACATACGGTGGAGAGAATGTAGATATTTATTTTGTAAAATAAAAAAGGAAAATAGACAAATGCTTTGAATATAAATATATATTGTGAAAAAAAATGTAAGAATTGAAATCAGTCGTGTGGCATACTTAAAGTACTGTCAGTATCATTAGGCATAATTGTTTGGATGAGCTTAAGTGATGTCAGTACACGGACGTATCTCACAATAATATTGTTGTTTAGCATATATTTTTATGTTAATTAACTACATAAGGTGGGGACTATGTTATATATAGGAGAATTTGTGATTATTTAACAAACCACTCATAATTCGATTTTATTGTTTGACAAGGAGACATTCAGTGGGTTAGGATTATTCCTCAACACCAAGTATTTTTATTGCTCATTAAAGTATATTCTATTAAATGATCGATAAGCGTAGTAACTAAAATCAATTTTTTAATTAGGTGATCTACTCTTACAAACTAATAGTTGAGATATGAAGGTTAACTGGTGTAAAATTTTATCATCACGAACTAATCAATATTCGAGTCAAATGGACTTTAGCAAACAATCACTGAGAAAGATTGACTTATACTGGCACTAGCTATTTTTCGATAAGTAAAGAGCTTATAAAATAAACACATAGTAATCCTATGAACGATAAATTATGTTCATTCTTATTTACAAATGAATAAGTCCGTCTGTTGTCTATCTTTATCTATGTTCTAACTGGTTTTATCTTACATAAAAACTGAGTGATGTTTAACTCAACAATTTGGATCAGGCTGTAATCATTCGCTTGTATGGTTTTAGAAACATAATAGCCTTAAAACATTTAGTATTCAACTTTTGATATCCCATTACTTAATTTAATCTAGTTTTAAAACAATGTTGGTCGAAGGAGATTTATGAAATCGATTCGGGGTATATATCGAGGATCAAGAAAACTTTTGGTAACCCAGAATAACTGACTAATAGTTGAAAAACTTCTCCGAAGCTAGAAGACCGACCTTTTCCCTGAAAATTATACTGTTTAAAAACGAGTTTATTTTAACAATTAGGTATTATTAGATAAAATTTACTAGTAAAGCGAAAAAACAAACGAATAAAACCTCTAAACAATCGACTGAGGGAAAGCATCGAATAGTACTAAGAGATGTTAGCAGAATCAAATATTAACATATTTTGTGATTATCTCTTGGTGAAAATATACCAATATTTATAAATGAACACTGCCTATTCCCCCTTACCTTCGTATTAATACAACGTAATTGTTTACGGAAATTATGTAACACTGGTTGAGTTAAAAGAATCCGATTCAACGCTTGTACTAGTACAAATGCTGATTCCAATGGTTTAATATAAGAAATAATTGTTGAAACGGTGCAGTAAACTGTATCAGCACCAAGAACTTGACAGAGATCGCTAACAAAATAGTAAAAACAAAATAAAGTATTTAATAAACTTGCTGATTATGAACAACGTACTTGACAAGTCTGATAGTGTAAGGAACGAGAACACAAGTGGGGTCAATCGGATATATTTGAACACAAAACTACAGAATCTCTTGGTAAAATTTGAGAACCATACAATAAATAATTCATTTGCAAAATGTTAATTAATCGTCTCAGACCTAATTGTTCTTTCGTTTCAAGACCAATAATTCTGTTATCGTTCTCTTTCCTTCGAACTTCTTAACCTTCTGCTTTCATGCATTTCACTTTCAACTAATGATACATACTACTTATATCTGTCGATATAGGTAGCATACATCACAATAGGACCAGGTGGGAATATTGAGGGTTTATATTCAGTAACATTCTAATGTCATAAAAGACGATGATTAATGCCTATGACTGGTTATGGAAGTAACATCCATGAGAACCGAAACACAAATTCAACAGTCGGTAACTTTAGATAATTCAGTGAATAAAACAGGATGTATTATAAAAAACAACACCCCAGACCAAATACTAAAGATTACATTTCCCTGTAATGACCTTAAAATAAAATAGGCTAAACCTAAGTCTAATAGGTTAGAGAAACTGAACCGCAGCCTCCATTATATGTAGTCTCAAAATTTGAAAAATACAAACTTTCTAATTTCAACTTCGTGCTTTACGCAAAACATGAAGACCCTCTATTTGATCCAATATGGGGTCGATAGTACATGTTACGTTGAAGTTTAATATTACAATCAAACATTCGTACGATTTACGACCACTTATTCATCAGTAATTCGATTCCTCAACTGATTCCAAGTTTTCTAAGACGGAGAGAATAAATGAAAGTGTGAAACTTTGATATCTATTCTTTAGGGAGGCTTTTTATAAATATATTTTAATATATATACATTACACGATTGGCTTATGGTATTTTTTTAATTGACTTAATTGTACGCTTTTATTTGGCTCATTAACCGTTGTTATATATTTTACCATCCATAAAATTAATCAGAAGCCTGCTACTCAGTTGTGTCCTTGTTATTCACATACTGAGTTTCTCATTTATGGCGTACCATGGTCTTGTACTTTGTAAATAGAATGATATCAGATTTGAATCACACAGAATATTAGGGTCCTTCTGCAGTTTTGACTGGTAGATTGGGGATGGGTAAGAATATCGCACAGCAATCGATCGTTTAACGCAAACGGCAAATACGTTAGCGAATTCATAATGGGAAGAAGTAAAAGAACACCATAAACGGGTTGTGATGAAAGTCATTTACAAATTAAAGAACCAAAACAAATGCTGAATGCCTACTCAAGTTAACTAAAATTTTGACTAATCATTACTTTTTAAGGGGATATGGTAAACATAATCAACATCCCAGTTGAAAATATTAAAAGATCATGTGTTCCACGAGATTCAATAAATACTCTACGGCAGAAAAAACATCGACCTATCAAAGAGAAGCCAAGCACGCATGATCCGTCTACTTATGTAAATAAAACATTCCTTAATAGTGAAGTCTTAGAAAATAGGTCAAAAAAATGTACACTCCATTAGTTCAAAAAAGTCAGTACTAAGCACTTGACATTAATCCTGATGAAAAATAGAAACGGAAAATGATCGTTATTTCTTAGTTAAAATCAAATTCGTTGGTTGTACTGACATCAGATCATGAAGTAGGACCAACCATTCAGGTAAAGCATACACAGATCCAATGAATTTAAAACAAATAGTTCATACTACTACACAGAAACTACGCTTATTCATGGTTTTGATAACTGGATATATCTTAGTAAGCATTTCATGTGACTGACACTGAAAAGAAAAATTGTTCAATAGATTATTCTTATTTGGTTGATAAAGTATTTTCATTATTATCGAAAGTATCGACATTTACGAAGCCTTCAAGCAAGCGTATGTTGTCTGGTAATAACGAGTTTCTAATGAGGATTGTTACTGAAGAAAAGATCTTGTTTAGAAACACTTTTCCCATCAAATTAAGTAATTCAAACCAACACTGGTTGTGAAAAATTGATAAAATGTTCATGACACAATAGTTTGTTTCGTCTTGAAATATAAAATCAACCCATAAAGCTAATTACGTAATAATCATATCTCCACGTTTCCGTAATAATTCTGAATCTTTGTTAAACAATTCGACTAAGTCCAAAAGAAATCGTAAACAAAATGTATTTGGAGCAGAAGATGATGACGGTAATGATTCTTGAGATGAAGTCTCCATTGAACAATCAGAAACCTGACTATTATTTTGTCCATTCACTATAGCCGGATCATGAAGCAACTTGACCAGTTCTTGAGGTAAAATAACAGATTCTTTGTTGTGATAATTATTACCAACAACAGTAGTATGGTGACTGAGTTTTCCAATCAATGAAATAGTAGAATGCACCATCTATAAAATAAATTTTAAAAAGTCATGCATGAAATGAAGATAAAATTGCTGATATCATTTCTAGACAAAATTTCATTGATTCCCACTGTATAACCTACTTCATCAGCAGGATCAGAAACTAGTTTGAGCATTTCTGGTAAAAGACGATCAACATGAGAAAAAACATCAGATGAACAAACTTCTGCAAGTACAGTAATCCAGCGTAGTGCTGCCAAGCGAGTAAATAAACTTGAATTATTAAGAAGTTGAAAAGTAGCTTCTAAGATCGCATCTGTGCACAAAATTTGTGAATTGTTTTGTCCACCGGATAGTGTATCAGTTGTGGTGTTAAGAGATGAGTCTGTAAACTGTTTAGTTGAATTTTCAGCCTGTGAACTATAAAAAAGTATAGGCAAAATATTTTAGTAATGTCGTCAAGGCTGTTTGGTTCCATAAAGAAGATTTATACAAACATCCCATATTGCTATCATTTTTAAAGACAAACAAAACTATCCCAGAAACCTATTACAAAGAAGCATCAGGAAACGCGTCGCTGAAATCATTATTTTATGGAAAAGGAAAATAATCAAACGAAAAAATATTGCAGAACAATGGGAAGCGTGGTTTCTCTATAAACTGTAGTTTTTATTTATGTAACGGATTCCTAAACACGATTGACAATATCTAACGCCACTGAACTGGATGGTTCATAAAAATTTATAAAATGATTTATAGTATACTGACTGATGCCAACTCAATGTATATATGATACATTGCGCAGTACAGTAAAATTATAAACTGATTACTCGTTCAACTTCCCCCATGTTCTAGTGTGACGGACGGTACTCACAAGATTGCTAGTAAGTAGTATGTAGCGAAATGTGGTGTCGAAGCTGCCACAGTCGTCAGTCAGGGAGAAGAGCTTCAGTACATGGAAAACATGGGGTAGGAAAAATACTTGAAGACCAGACGAAGGCTATGTATATGTATTATATAATTATTTCGTAATTTTTCAAAACAAATATTCCTTCTGGTCATTGCCTTGTTCTACACCAGTACCAGGAAAGTGTTCAGTGAATAAGCCTCAGAGAAGCCATTCGTATGATGATGTGAAAGAATCTTTATTACATCATGGTAAAAAAAATAAAGTGCAGTAAGTTCAGTCCGGTAACACGAACCTGAATTTGATGGTTGTGTAGGTTTTTTAAAATTAAACAAAAACAGTCTGCCAATGATATCCTTGACTAACAGGAAATTGAAGATCATAGTTATGTTTAGCAATCTGACATTAATCCTTATATCAAGACACGCAACCCCTGCATTCAATCACAACCATACAATATAGATTATTCTGGCGGAACTTGGTACATTAGCTGAATTTCTGTTCATGATATCTTACAATGTGTTATAAGTGGCTTTTTAATTTTTTAAAAAACAGGTATTTATTACAGTATGTTTCCCAACGTGTATTTTACTGTTGATAATAAATTTAAACCTCATTTCAAAATATCTATCAAGTCAAAATATTCTTAAGTGTTAAAAACAATATTCAGCAAACCATGTTAAATAATGTACGTTAGTGCTGAAATTTCCATCTCAAAATGTAATTTTGTGAACACAAAGCTCTTGACCACTCAATAATCAACTTTCCATAGTATTGGAATTAAATCCTATGCTGTGGCCCATATCATATTTATATAATAAGGACGTTAAGAAGTGGTGTATGATAAGTAAATGTTTAAACCACTTATCATATGCACTATCCGAAGACTTGCATGCCTACCAAGGTATAAATAATTTTCTGGATGCACTTGCGATTGTGCTTCCGTAAGCCAATACCTGCTGTTAGAAAAACATATCTAGCAGTATTAGGGAGATCTAAAGTATTCCTCGAAAAAAGTTTAGAGGGGCCGTAAAAACACTGGAAAGCACTTTATCTAATCAATATTGAATAGGCATTTTTCAGAAATATCTAGAAAGTCAGGAGTCACGTGTCATATTTCTGATTGGATGGTTCCAGAACTTTCCAGAAGCCCAAGATCATCTGAAATACTATAAATACCCTCGATTTTCTGTACATAAACTAACCTTGAAGTAAAGCATTCTTTTCATAATTTGTGCCTTTACTCTCGTGTAGATTTACCCTGGGGTCATTAGAAGAGCATAGGAAACCGATTCTAGAGTTCAGTTGGAAGACTTATCAAATAGTTAACCATTTTACCAACCAAACATCATAAACAAATTTTAGAAAAATATTTAAGTCTTATTAGAATGTGTTATGAATTTCTCTTAACACATAAATATGCAGAACATCAAAACTTACAACTTGACTAACGATTCAATTTGGTTTCCTGAATTCAGTAAGACTCGGTGCGAATCCATTGCACCGTGAGATATTGATTCGCATGAATCCAAATCATTCATAGTACATGAATTGAATAATCTAACAGCCTTCAGAAGCGTTTCGTTTATGCACACAGCTGTCTCAAGAGCAACTTTCGTATGAATAACAGTTAGAATAATTAAAACAACAAAAGATAAAATTCAGCTTATCCAGTGTATATATTTTTAAAAATGTCTAGATACACACCTAGCTTTTTATACACGACGACCGCAAAATGAAAACCATATAATCTGCAAAATATATTTATGATTTACTGTGCTACAATCGAGAACAGTCTCTGTCACATTAAGAGGATAACTTATAAAACACATGCAGTTGATGGATGGTGAGATAGAAAAATTGGTAAAATCACGCGGTCAAATACCTGTGATAAGTGGTTTGGAAGAATTGTTATGATGCTTGACAGTAATGGAAAAGTGAAGTCATTTGAAACCATAACAAATATACCCGTATCCTACTGTTCACCATGGAAGTGTGTTTATTCGTTTAACTTTATAAGAACCCAACTAACACCTAGTTATGCTACAAACAAAAAGTAACTAATTTATAAACATAAAACTTACATAACTAACTTGTTACGGCTTTGGAAAGACAGTACTTGTCTTCAATTAAAACAAAGTTCAGTACACATTTCACTGCTTTATGGACCATGGGGTAAGCAAAACTCAAAGGAATAAGCTTTCAAAAAATCTAGAATAGAACCACGGCCCATCTGAACAGGCATATACAGCACTCAAAATAAAAATCGATAATTTTGAAGGATAACGCCAGTTGATAACATTCAAGAAAATTAAAAATGCTAAATTGTGACGTATTAAGACAGTTAATAGACGAGATAAACTGATCATATGACAGATTATGTCGACAAGTTCTAAAAGAAAGCATATATTTGAAAGGCAAATTGTGTTAGTCACAAAATTACAGGACCTATGAAAACGCTTCTATAACAATTAGAATAAAGCATGTAAAAACAGGACAACTCGAACAACAAAGCACACCAAGAAGTCGAGATGACAAATGCTGATTCCCACACTGTTTATAACTGACACACTGAAAGTTAGAATCATTGAGTCAATAAGCATACAACGAACCTACTTCAACCTATTATCTTTAGAAATACTACAGAGTACATAGTTACTAAGTTTGAGTGAGACAAACAATTCCATACAGTAATACAGGTAGACTACAAGATTTTTAATATCCCAAGCATATTCTAAATGATACAAAATTGAATAATTGACGAGCAGAAATGTGATATTGAATAAAGCTACATAAAATGGAAAGTTAAAAACAAACCTTTTCTTTCTTGTAGAGCATCAGATGGTCCACAGAGCATAAAGCAGGGAAGAACAGCACCAATAATTCCTGAAGCATATGGAAGCATATGATGCGGATCTATTTCAACAAATGTTTTTATCCACTTTAGTGCCGCTCGTTGTTTTAATTGTTCTGGTGCGTTACATATATTTCCGCTTTTTAAGGACCACGAATCAGAAGCGTTTTGAGCAGTTTGTGTGAGACTAATACTTTGAGCCGACGTATCAACAACGATTGATGAATTGAGGAGATTAGAAAACTGAGAGTTACGCGGAGATGATGGCTTCAAAGCAATATCGGCCAAAGCACAAGCTAGTGAAAGTAACACGAAAAAATCCATGGTACTGTATATATAAGAAAAACAATACACAGAATATGAGGAGTACAGAAATACAATAATCAATATCGGCATAAATATACCGCAATGTTTCGTACTTAATGACAACCAAAAAATATATGCCATAAGAAACTTCGTACTACGGTTTATTTATTTATTGCAACATATAAACATCGGTTCAATGCGGCATTAAACGATATATGCGCTACACAATAAAAACAAGGTTGTGAAGAGATAGAGAAAGGAAGGTATAATGAAAAAGAAAAAAGACGAATAAGAATTAGTGTATGGGAGTAAGGTAATAATAACGGGAGAGGCAGTTCGGTTAACATAAGTACAACCAGAAAGAATTATTTCAGTTAAAGAAATTACTCTCACTTATACGAAGAAAGCAAAAAAAAGTTACAGAAAGATCGTCACTGGCTTCTATTCTGAGACAACAGAACCCAGTCCTGCACATCTCTTTTTCACATCACGACACCATGTCATACACTGACCATCTCTCCGCTTTTTCCAACCAGTTCGTGTCAGAAAATGATACACGATGTGGAATTCGCTGAGATAACATTTGTCGGAAATGTTCAAGCCACCGAGGTTGATATTTAAAGATAGTGATACCAATTAAATTATCATCGCTGCGCCCGAACACACGATGGCGAATTTCCGCATTACTAAAATAGTGTTGCCACTGGAAGTCAGCAATCCTTCGGAGACAACGGTGATTAAACACATAGTCGCCTGACATCATGAACTCGGAGAGGTCAGGTTTCACAAGCATGGAGCGAATCTGGTCCCACGGACGCAATGTAGGTGCAACCTTTTACAGCCAAACTAACATCACGAAGGCGCCAAAGATGGGCCAGATTAACATAAGCTACTCTGCCTTTCACTATACGTGAATTGATCTCATCATTCATGCCACCACCAGCACTTACATAGCTACCCAGATGCACGATCCCCTCAACTACTAACTGCTCACTACCTATGTGGTGTATTCCATGTAAACCCTAATTAATGCAATCTTTTCTTATTGCCTGATGATGGATGATGACTGATGCCTAAAAGTTTTTCACACTGTCGTGGTGTATGCTACTTATGCCGATATAAGTAGCATGTAAAGCAATCAGAAGTGGAATGCCTGGGCAGCAGAAGGTTGATAAGATCGAATCGAAGAGAACAGAACAGAGAATAATTTTAATAACAGTGTAGGAACGAAGAAGATTGAGACAATTGATAGGGATTTGCAAATCAAGTATTGAACGTATGATTTTCACATTTTATCCAAGAACTCTGTAATTATGTATAAATACAATGGTTTATCCCCGCTGTGTTCTCGATCGATACACTCAGAGTGAGTGCAGTTCAGGTCCTCCAAGTACAGCTCAAAGCTTACCTTAATTTCATACTGTATAAGTTAAATTCTTAAACATTTTAGTACTAGGGCAAAATTCTGACCTTGCAATTTGGTCTTTGGAGTAAGGACCTCAGATAAGTATTGTGACAGAAATTTTGATGTGTCGTTGCGAAATTTTCCTCGCGTTATGTGCATCAGTTTTAATACGTAGCTTCATATCATTTTAATATTATCGTAATCACTTCTCATTACTTTAATTTTAATTTGAAAGGATAGTCGTTCATAGTATACTAAACTAGATATTTTAGTTGTGATTTCTATGAAAAGCCTAGTCAGTGGGGTAGATTTGATTGCATTGAATGATTACTAGATTGTTGTATATCATATTCGTTAATGAGAGGATGCACCTGTAATTGTTTTCAGTTTGCTTGCAGTATAGCGAAACTCCAACTACATTTTCAGAGCATTACCATCTGTAGGATTTCGTGATAGATTTTTAAACACTGATGTTTACTATAATGATCATTTAATATATTCTGGGAAGAATTATATATATATATATATATATATATATATATATATATATATATCGACGGGCGATGTTTTCTGGTGCAGGAGCAGGCTGAGAAAAACTAGTAGTGGCCAAATCAAAACATGGCGTCAGTCCGTGCAGTCAGCTACAACTTAGGACCAGGGACATATATGCATCGGTCCAAGTTGCCATACCGCATTAACACAGCATGATGAACACCGGACTCATAGAAGTAGCTAATTTAATGGTGGTACTATATAAATGAAAGATCGCATATAAGGATATAGTACAGGAAGACAGAATTAGTACGTAGAAAGTTATGAAGCGATAATAATCTCATAGTTTAAGGCAAGACAGATTGTATATGCCGACGCCATTGTGATCGATTCTGAGCCATGTAACACAGTCTCCAACCATTGGTTACAATGGTCACGTAGACCCCCAACCAAGTAGTCTGCATCTACGAACATGGCTTAGATCAGAAGTTAATGACTTCAAAGACTGGTGTCGAGTTCCGGTTTGGCCACCCCTGACTTTCTTCCTGCCGTCTCTAACACTAGTCAGCATTACGCGCCGTGGTAAACGGTGTTCAGGCATACGTAACACGTGGCCCAACCATCTCAGTCTATAAAGATTCACAACCTCATCAACTGATTTACCACTATTCCCTGATATCCCGTGTCTAACCTCACTATTACTTATCCAATGGTCCTAGCATATACGAGCAGTTTTTCTAAGGTATCTGTGGTCAAATACTAGTAGCTTACGATGATCTTCTACTCTTAATTGCCACATTTCGCAGCCCTAAAGTAGAACGGAACAAACTGCCGCGAAGTATACTGGTCCCTTAATTGATAGACGGATATCTCGCCTTCACCATAGGTGACGTAAGTTGGCGAAAGCCAAACGACAACTTCACTCCCTATCCTTAGTTCAGGTGTTGACAGAGGTCAGTCCTGAAGCAACAACTTGTATTTAGAGGGGGAGGAACGCATTCCAAACATTCTGGTATAGAGTTGCTCAGTGCTATCAAAGACTGCATTTGATCAGCGTTTTTACCAAACAGGACTATGTCATTTGCGTATTCTAAGTCGATAAGTTGACCTCCTGGCAGGAGATCAATTCCCGGGAATTCAGTCGACGAGAACGTTATTTCCACCAGTAGGTCTATGATGAAGTTAAACAAAAATGGAGGTGAACAGCCTTGACGGACACCACTTGAGGTTTCGAAAGCAGATGACAGTTCTCCATAAGCTCTGACTCGACTAGTAGCGTTTGAGTAAAGAGCCTTCCCAAGGTTTATGTACTTCTGAGGTTTGTCTTTCAATGACAGACACTGTCTGTGTTCTAGAACCTGACGAATGGTGAATATGTGGTCGATGCAGTCACGACCGGGTCTGAAGCCAGCCTGATTTTCTCGTGTTTGCAGTTCACGAGTCTTAGTTAAGCGACCGATAATTATTGACGCTAGTATTTTAGATGTTATGTTAGTCATACTAATCCTTCTATGGTTGTCGCAGGATGATTTTAACCCTCTCTTACATATTGGGATGATGAGTGATTGTGACCAGTCAGATGGGATAACGTCCAGTTTCCAGATTTTAGCTAAAATATTAGTCAACTTAATCACCAAAACTGGACCACCATACTTAAAGACCTCTGGAGCCAATCCATCTTGACCAGCTGCCCTTCCTCATTTCAGATTCACTATAGCCTTTTGAACTTCAGCTAGATTTGGGAGACCTACTTCAATGTTCCATTCGCACTGTCTGGGAATGGTGGGTAGTTTTAAAGTAGCCGAAGTGCTCCTTAGAATGTTCCGCCCATCGTTCTAAACGTCTGGACTGGGAGCAGATGAGAGTGTCGCCTTTTTCCGAGATGTTCTCGCTTACATTTGACTTATTAATTCCAGTTTCTTTTACTAGTCTGAAAAGCTGCCTTGTGTTCCCTATAGCCGCCGCCTTTTTCATCTCTTTTGCTTTCGTTGTCCATCACTGCACACGGTCGTTCTTGTTCTGCTCTCGTACTTATTACTATACCTATACCTGCCAGTTCACTTTGGTTGACCTAGATGTGATTTGTTTTCGCCTTTCATCGTGTTCGGGGCCTGATGGGATGAGTTTACGAGAATCTGTCAATGCAATAGACTTAGTAGAAATTCACTGAATTTTCGTAACCCTTTGGTTTAAATCACTAATAGGTGTCGTTGCTGTTTCCACAGCTGTTCGTGTATCTTTCCAAGCAACATCTGGGTCAGTCTCGTTTTCGGAAATACCTAAGTGTGACCTTAGTTGTTCCTGAAACCTACTTTTGGCTTCACTGAGTTTGACTCTAATGGGTATTCTTAATGTGGTTTCTGTGCGTCACCCCCAAATGCCCTGGTATAGCCGAGAGTGAGTTGGGTTCGCCTTCCCTCTCGAAATGCTCTCACACGGCCACGCGTATACAGCCTCTGCCAGGGAAGTCTTACTCACTACCTTCTCGTGGCGGGGGTGTTGTTTACGAAAATGAGAAGACGAAAAGCGAATGTCCGGCGCTTTAACCGGATCCCAAACCAATGGTGCACATGGGCTCCAGTATCCTGCGGGAACAAATGGCGTACGAATCAATCGTTGGTCACCGGCTACCATGGGGATGTATCTCCTCACGATGCCCCACTGCTTTGTGGATCAGACCTTTAGGTCAAAGGCTTGGGGTTTGGCCCCCTAAGAAAAGCACCTGCTTCGTTCTGGGCACCCGGGCAGTATCACAGCCCACACACACACGAATGTGGTGTGGTGCATATATTTTTGGTTCCCTCTTTTATCAATATTTATGTGTTGAAATAAAATAAATAAATAAATTCTCTGCGTCCAGTGAGGCGCAAGCAGATGCGTGCTTGTATTAGAGCATGATCAGAGTTCAAACATATACTCCAGAACTAGTGGCAATCTTCTATCGAGCTTCTCCAACGATGACTGATGGCAGTATGGTCTATTAAAGTCCATCGTTGATTTGGTGTAGGGTGTCTCCATGTAATACGATGTCTCTCTTTATGCTTGAAATTCGTCTTTGCTAATAATAAAGGATTATCTGAGCACAGTTGCAGCAGACAATCAGCATTATCTGTTCTCTGAGCCGGAATATCAAAATACCTACTTAAATGTCTTACTGTTTGGTTTAAGCTACCTATCTGGGCATTGAAGTCACCTTCTACGAGTACTATGTCTGAACTTTTAGCTTTCTGAAGAAGTTCAGAGA